GTTTCCAAGTTTTCAACGTTCTGTTTGAGAGGCTATAAATTCCATAATCGTGACGCTAAAAGTAAGTTGAACATCTGCATTGTAGAAAAGGGTATGCACTTCCCCTCTAGAGGTGAACGTCTTCAAGGTTCACACCTGGTGCTTTTCTTGGACAAGAAGTCTGTCTATAAGATGTGGTCCATTATGGATCTTATGCAACTAACCCCCGCGTAATTACATAACGATGCGGGAAGTGTTTATATCGCCTCTGTATTAATACGGGATGAATCTGTTTAACTTTAACCGTTATTTCCTTATTTAATAAACTCAGTGGGCGAGGAAGAGGTTCTTGGATTCGTTTTCAAAGACTTATCGTTTGGAATTGAGTTTATTATGAATTTTATGCAGTTAAAGACTTTTTTTCAATTATGACTTAAGTTATCGTTATCGTTTATCTGGAAGACGATTTGCTCTTGAACTACTGTATTTAAATTATGAGAATCTTTTAAAAAATTTTTAATATACAACATGTTGCTATGACCATTAATTTTACAGTTTTATTTTAAAGTAAACTGTTCTTAATAAGTATTAAAATAGAGAAGAAGAAAAATGAACAGTGTGCAATAAAAAAATCGACAACCACAATTTTTTACTTGTTCCTGTTTTTATCTTATCACAGTGATAGAATCATTTTTTCTAATGAACTTTACTTAAAATATATCTTTCTTTTTTTTCAATATTATTTTGAGTTAAAATAATTTAAGACATGTCTTTTCTCTAAAAAAGTTATCAAAATGCGACAAAATCTGTCTCTTATTTTTAATAAAAACGCAAAAAAAAAAAAAAAAAAAAAAAAANGCAAAAAAAAAAAATCTAGAAAGAATACAAAGATAATGATATTAGATTTAAATTGCTCATAGTTAGTATTAACTAAACTTATTTTATATTAATACGGTTTTTTACATAAAAATGAAATAAAATACATTAAACAAGATATATTTTTTTCGAATCTAAACGCATATATATAGCTGTATTGATAGCAGTTATATAATATTATCATATATAGTTAAGTTAACTGCAATGTGCACATTTAACTGATAAAACATAGAAGTTTTAATTTCAAACGTACAATTTTTATAAAATTACTCAATACTTAAATTTTGAGTAAAATCAAGTATTGAGTAGTTTTATAAACAAATTTACAGAGTCCCAAATCATGACAAATGGGAAAAGGACCGATATTGATGTTCGTCTTATCGTCTATTAGCAACTAACTTCTGTGGTTGTAGTGCCGTAAAATTATCGCTGGATATAAAGACTTTATATTTTATATATCATTTTAAAAGCCTTAATAAATATCTAAAATATTTTGAATAAAAAAATGTGCATTAATTTCGAGTTAAAATTTAAATATATATATATATATATCGCATTTTAAATGGAAACATAAATAGTCAAAGCCTGACAAAGGCAGGGGCATAAGGGGCAGTTGTCCCGGGCCCCACGTCAGAGGGCCCCCAAATTGAATTAAAAGTTTATTTTATGTTTCCTTCTTTAATGAACTTTTTTTAAAACAAAATATCAGTACAGTGTAAAATCCGTCAGTTTTATGTTAGCTTTTTCATTAATCTGTCGTATGAATGAAATCTTTATTTCGTTAATCCGTGGTTTTCTAGGGCGAAATTCAGCTGAAATTTTGCAACTATGATGGGCAAATTTAGCGACTCAAAAACCTGTATTTTTATATATCGTAAAATGCGATATTTTACGAAGATACAGGCTTGTGATTGGCTTAATTGAGCCATCGTAATTGCGTAAATTTATCTGAATTCCACCCTTTAGTCAGCAAGGATAGGAATTTTTCGCAGTTAGATGACAAAGTTAACAATCAGAAATCTGCATTCGGCTGGTGGACACAGAATTATCAGAAAATCAATAAAATGGACAAAACGATATTTCTACTGATCATTGGAGGGGGAGGGACTTAATAGCTATTTTAGGTTCTAGTCAATTTTCTTGTTATAAATGCATAATGAGGGGGAAAATTTAAATACCTCCATATAGTTCAGAGGGCAGGGGTGCAAAGAAGTTTTTTCCCTGGGCCCCAATTAGGCTAAGTCGGGCCCTGTAAATAGTTCCCATTGACTGTTCACTTGATGTATGAAATATTATGATTCGAACCTTATATATTAAGTTCAAGTTAAAATATTAATCGTCCCCGGGATAGCCTGGTTGGTAGATCGCTGGGCCCATGTCCAAGAGGTTGTGAATTCGATCCTCACAGGGCCAAACACTCCCCGTGTAGTAAATTCTGTTTACTGCTCGTTAAGTCTGTCGGGTCACAAAGTCTCCCATGCTCCCATAACAAATCAATACCTCTAGGGATACTGAATTGGAGCTTGATCGCTATCTGGTTCGGGTCAAAACTACTATCTATGAATGAATAAATGGATGTATGAATAGCTCCGCCCTATAAACGGGCTGTGATGTGTGTGCGTGCGGCTGAAGTCGTATTATTGGCCATAGATGGAGCCACTGAAAAACAAGAAACTCGTCCTACGTCTTAAATGCGCTTGGTTTCACCAGGCAGGCTTGCTAGTATTGGCAAGTGGCATTAGAAGGAACTTAAAATAAGAATTTAAAAAATTTTATAGCCGATTTTAAAAGTAAGAATAAATTTTAAAAAATGTAAACTAATTTTGTTTTGAAATTGTAAGTAAATTTTTTGTAATATCTCATTTGAAAGATTAAAAAAAAAATCCTTATTTTTTTAAACTTGCTTTATTTTGATTGAACAATAAAATAAAAATTAGAAAATGCAAAACCTGTACTGTAACGCCAATTAATTAACAAGAAATTTTAAAATCGGCCGAAAATCTTAATTTAAATTGAAATTATGACATTTAAGTTTACTGTTGCCAAGTATATTTTATTCACCAAACATTTTCTGTGAATGAACATGTGCTGCGAATGAAGAGCACAATTTATAGCTACTTGATTTATATTTTGTTATATGTGTGATTCACGTTAAACTTATAATATTTTCAAACAATTTCATTGGATACATTTTCTTTGATTTCAGATAGTAAACCAAATTATTACGAGTCTATAATTATTACTAAACATTCTAGTATACGCAACAAAAGACTTAAAACTTAAAAAAAGCCTAAATTCCGAATAATAAGGTCTTAAAGTAAAAGTAAAAATTTATGAAAACAAATCTGTAAAAGTTGTTATTGTAGACTTATAAATCTATGTTATTCCAAGGAAAAACCAATGTTTAGTTGAAAAAAGAGGTTTATTTGTCACCAATTGCTTTTAACAGATTATAGTGATTTGCCAATTCACCAATACGCTTAGCCAATTATATCGATTTACTTTTTCACCGATTATACCGTAAAAAATAAAAAAAATTAAGAGTTAAGAAATAATATAATTTTTAAACGAGTTACCTAGATATTTTCAAAAGTATAATTAAGTAAATAAAAATAAAAATAAATTTCTGATTTTTTCCAAAATTCATTTATTGCAAAGAACTTGGGGAAAGACTGCTATCAATGACTCAAGAAAGACTAAAATCTTTGGCAATAATTTCAATCGAAAGTAAAACCGCCAAATCAGTCGATTTCGAAGTTTCGATAAAATCGTTTGCGTCAGCTAAACCGCGACAAAATACATTTTGCTGATTATACTTATCATAACAGATTATGCTGATTAAAATTATTAACTGTCATAAATATTTATTTAAGAATAATCAAGGTAATATTCTCATTAATTAAACTAAACTCTTACTTTCTTTTTTACCTTGATTGCGTTAATTGCTATCTTTTTCATATTTTCTTAAATCAACATTAAGGGTTGATATATATTTTATAATTTTCCTGTAGAAATATTGCTAATTAAAATATTAAAAAAAATTTCTGTAGATTTATAGCTACACAAGCAATAAAATTCAAGGAAAAAAGTTATTTTTTAAATTTACATTCCTTTTCAAAATTGAATTAAGGGCGCATTTTCAGTCTCGCCCGGGGCATTTCCTTCTAGGAGGTATTGCCCGGGGCGCGAGAATGTCTTTTGCCTGCACTGGATGAACACTGTACATCATAATTATATGGTCCAATTATAGCAATGATCCTCCAATTATTGAAACTCTTATCTTTGGAAACCTTATATGTTTTTGAATGATTGATTAGTTAACAAAAATTTTAGTTAAAGTGTTGAATACGGGACCCCTCTGATATTTTGCGATTTGAAAGCATGCCTATGTAAATACATATAAAAATAAACCAAAAACCAATCATATAACGGTAAATAAAAATTGTGGTAACCCGATGCTGACGTCATTTAAAGCAGAGACAGCAATAAAAGAATATCGGTAACCAGAAACTGAGTTTCAGCAAATTTTATATTACATCGAAATGCGCCAAAGTTTTTATTATAGTAGTGTATTTGCTTTGTATTTAGCTATATTTAAGTAATAATTTTGAACTTTTTTTTTAAATGTTTATTTAATTGGAAAAAATAAACTTATTTTCGTAATTATTACGAATAAAGTCAGCATCGGGTTATCACAATTTCTATTTACCGTTATGTGGTTGGCTCTTGGTTCATTTTCATATGTATATACATAGGTATGTTTTCAAATCACCAAATATCAGAGGGGCCTCCTATTCTACACTTTTACTACCTCATATTTCTCTATAAGCGTAAGGAGTTGCCAAAAACTTTGTAAACGCCAAAAAGATTAAATTTTAGTGTCATATCATGTTTAAATGTATTAAAGTAATATTTCTGAATTTCTATTTTTAAGTACCTTTGGTTATTTCATGGTTATCAAATAATTCCAAATAATACTTAAAGCACATGGCAATTTTACTACATCATTATAAATGAAAAATATTATCAGGATTTTTTCGATCTTGGAATCAGTACAGCTTAATTAATTGTCTCTTCTTGGATATTTGCTATTTCAATTCCACTAGCACTTGTATCACTGAGAACAGCCAAATGGAACGAAGCTATTATTTAAAAACCGCAATGGCACTGTTTCCGTAATTAGATGCCAAGCGTCCAATGTGCTCCGGCAAACATAAACGCACAGCGAATTCCAACTGTCTGGTAGTGATGGTTTTGTTGTTGCTTGAACGAGTCAGTCTCTGGAGCTCTGTTTCAATTCTGTCCAAAAAGTGAGCCAGAATGTCGTCGATTTCTTTCAATACCATGAGATTAAGCTGGGATTCAGGAATTAAAGTTTTCTTAACTTGTCTTACATACCTCTGAAATGAGACATATGGAAATTTACGCCATTTCGACTTCTTGCGTTTTATCTTCTGAATGTTTTCATGTTGCTCAGAAGTACTTGCATTTGGTTGAATAAAATTAGTTGTTTGATCCATTTTGTATGGTAAAAAAAGTTGCTTAGATTACTTTAATGGTCACTAATGATTTAATAATATAGTTTTAATCTTTATTTAACGAAATTGATTAAATGATTTTAGTTCAAGTAAACCATATCACGTGAATCGTTTATCTTTGTTCAATGATTCAAATATGATAGAATATATTTATTTCAAGCATGATGTCGTTAGCCCATTATGTTTTTGGTATTTTATATAAATTACTAGTTATAACTACAGATAGGGCCCAAGGGAGCTGACAGGAATATCACAGAATGGAATAAATCTATCAATTGTCATTTGCAAAATTCCTATTGGACGATTCATATTTACATCCCAACATAAACGTATTCCAATTGGTTGCGATCTGTAACTAATGGATTACTTGTGGAGAAGTAAGAGAAGTGGCATTAGCTTAGAATTCTCAAATTAACAACTGGTTTGTTTTCAGGAAAGTAAGATTTGTGTTGATAATACATTATTTAGAGTTCAAAATCGTTATTTGACTAACGCTTCAATTCCAGCGTTCTCTTTATTGATATATTTTCATTTCTTTAGCAGATGGGGTAAGAAAAGGATTGTATGCATGGTAGGGAATGTTCATCGAGGTAGGTTAAACAAACAAAATCCACTTTTGATTTCAGAATAAGGAATTTTTTTTACCCGAACGTGGCAACAAATTTCACACATCGGATAGACCGGATAATAACACCAGTATAAAAATGACTCATTACCTTAATGAAAGCAATATATAAAATACCGAACAGAGATAAAACTGAGAAAGACCCATAAATTCCTGCCGGGTTACAATCCTGGCTAATCTGCTTATAATTTTATAATAACCACGTCTTTTGGTAAATGTGACATAATTTCACATGAAACACGTTATCTATTAATCCTTACACTGATGTTTTTAATCTTAAGGGACATTATACCCAGTATTCCTTACATTGATTGAAGGAACTTTTTTTAAAGTTAAGAAACTTTGTCCGATAGTTGAGGCAGAAATGCGATCGAAAGTATGGTCCCCTTAATGTTAACAGACTTTTTGCGCATTTATGGAACTACTTAATAAAATTTTAAAAAAAAACTACTCACAATTTTAAATTTTGTGATAATTATAGATTAGCTTTATTAATATAAATTGATATTAATATACTAATTGATAAATTTATAGCTAATATAAATTGATAATTGTATATTAGGTTCATTTTTGCTTTATTTCACATTATATACAAATTTTTACTCCATTTTGAACTATGTAATTTTAAATTGCAAATAGTTCTTTGCCTATAATTTATAAATAAACAAAAAGCGTAAATAAAAAAATAAATAGATTTGAAGAAAAAAAATGGCAAACAGTACTTGAAAAAGCAATAATAAAAGTCGTATTTTAACTTTTTTTTAAAATTTGATTATTTAACCAATTTCTTTCATATTTTGTCATTTAAAATACCACATTTTAAAATAATTTAAAATTTTGTATACCTTACAATTCAGAAAGTTCAGATCATTAGATTAAAAGTTATGAAGCTATTCTATTTATTATTTTACACATTGCAGCAGATAAGAGGAAAAAAAACATGAACATTTCAATAACTTTATATCTACTGATCCAATTTTCATGTACTAAGATGCAATATTATTACGGAGATCTGAACTTGAGTATGCTTATTAATTGAATCGATCGATATTTTAAGGTACAAAAACGAACATTCTTTGAATAAATATACCCTTTTTTTCGACAAAGTTTTATTCTTGATCTTCAAAATATCGGAGGAGGAGCTTCAATCTGGAAAATATGATGCCAATTAGTCAGAAGAGAGAAAAAAAATTTATGGCACTTTTACTTCTTGCGTGTTCCGACATTCTTTGAAAATTTTTTAGCGAATCAATAACTTTTTGCACAGAATTATATAACTTATTTTTAAAAAGAAAATTTTGCGCAAAAAATAATTTTTAATAATGTAATTGCACTCAATTTTTTATTGGCCGAAAAAATACGAATACAAAACAAATATAAAAAATTTTATATCATGTCATATTAAATGACCAAATCCAAAATTTAAGCAATCAGAATAACGTGTTCAGCTTTTAAGATTAAAAAAAGTTTTTTTTTAAATATTTCCGTTTTTTTTATTTATTTATTACTATTCTTTTAAGTTTACTATTCACTATATATGCTATAAAGTAAATGGATAGTCTTCCGTTAGACGTTACATTTTTACAAATTATTTTGCGCATTAACCCAGGTAATTCTGAGCTAAGAATTTTTACCGTTGTAAACAAAACATTTTGTAATTTTAAATTTCTACATCAAGATCAATCTTTTAGAGTTGCGGAACGATTGAATAACTAAGCAACCAAAATTTTAATGGTAGGAAATGTATTTAAACGACATTTTCTTACAATTTAGACGACACATTGCATTTAAATGAAATTTGAAATACTATTCAATTTAGCATGGTCAAATCAGATTCAATACGCAATCTTTAATTATTATAAAAGTGATTCTATTTACAGCAGCTATTATATTTTAAGATTTTAGAGTTGATAAACGGGTGTAATATAAAATGTGTGCATAGAATTTTAACTTTAGAAACCAAGGTCAACTATAATTAAATGCGCGACTAAACACCGAGAGACACCTGAAACCATTGATAATCTGATCATATTTTATCTTTAAAATTGCCACCCAAGTTGAGATTGATTTTCCTATATTAATTTTAAAAATATCATTTAAGCATTTACTTTAAAATTATCAAATTCCAACACGTTAGATGAAAATATGTCTTATGTAACGTTCACTGGTTTTAAGCATGGAAATTAATCACTTTTTAATTCGTGTAAAAATATATTAAATATGCAGACGATTCCTAATTACTCCATCCGTTCGTTTCGAACAATAAATCCCCGAAAATCGAACCACACACGGTGATGGCAAATATTTCTGAAATGACAGCTTTTAGCCAACTAAAAATTATATGTCTATCAACTTACAGCTTAGTAAATTAGACATGGTACGACTCAATTAGTAGCTGAAATAATAATTCTTCCGAACGCTGTAACAACTTAATCACATGACTAATGTCGTTTTATTGTTTCGCTCGATTCCTGAACATTCATAATGCCGAACTTATAACTCTATTTGCCCTTTATCTAGTGATAGAATCATTCATTACAAGTATTCGACCTTGAAATGGTTTTCATGCTTTATTAGTACCATTTTCGAAACCTTAATGAGCTTTTAGAACTTAATATAGATATCGTTTGCGAATCAGTAACTCTCGTAGTTTTGTCACGTATTGAGAAAACAATTTCTTTTTACAATTTTTTAAAATATTTTAAGTAGACAACTGTTTCTGTGGCATCATTTAATTATCTCTATGTTTGAAGTAGGAATCATTAATTATTTAAATGAGGCTCTTGAGTAAATTATGAACAAGTTAATAAACGATATCAGGGCTTTAATTTATTGCATTCTTTTTTTCGGAGCCTAATTTAATATTAATTAAGTATTTATTAAAGATGCAACTGACATCTACATAATAACTCCTTTTAGCTTCATATTATACAGTAAGTCCAATTCCATTCTGTTAACCTTTTTGCAATAGTTTTAACATTTAATCTTTTGCCTAGCACTATGCTTGATGAAGATTTCTTACTTCTTTTTTGCGAATTTAACACAGATGAATATTAATAAAGAAAAGCACATAAGAGCACAAAGTTTAAGTTAAAAACAAACACGAAATTTTGAGACAGGAATGGAACGTGGAATTTTTAATGAACATAAGGGAGAAAAAATGTGACACAGTAAAAAAGAGCACAATAAAATGTTTGAGCTCAAGAAACCATAATGTTCTAAAATATTTTAACTCAAATCACATTAATAATACAACTTCTTACAAATGATAATGCTAGTATCAATTTTTAAGCAAAAACTGAAGAAAACTATTTCTATATTAATTAAGGTAAGTGCTACTTACCCCGTTCTCCAGGACTGCCACATTTTGGAGGGTAATAAATATCAATTGCTCAGTCATAAAAGACTCTAACATGTTTATAGACAATCACTTTAATAACGAAATATAACAAACAAAAAAGGATTAACAATTAAACATCTAATTATCGTACGGAGCTAAACATGCTTGTTCACAGATTGAGATCAAAACATCAACTGGTGGCGCTGTGGGCGCACCAAAACAACATGCGCAGAAGTGGGAATTCTCGACAGCTAGTATGAATTACTGAATTTTATTTTAAAGAAATCTAATCAAATTGTATAATGTTAAAATATTGGTGTAGAGCTTTGATAAAACTGTTTGAGAGGAAAAAAAAAAGTTGGATAATTATTTATTATCAATATAGAAATCCATATCTTTTAAGTAATTCCGTAAAGCATTTTAATTAACAACTAATCTGCCAAGCAAAGCCGCAAAAAATAAAAAAAGAACATTTTAATAACATTTGGTCCGAAGATGGAAGATAAGTAATGAGATGGGGAAAGAAAGAAAAATTTGGAAGATAGAGAACTACGATGGAATCTTCATTGAGGGGTAGACCTCAGATAATCTTTTTTCTTGCGGATTAATATTTTTGATCCTCAAAACACGAAGTTTTGCTGTAATTTTTGAAATATGGCCCTGATAATTTAGTCGAGAATGTAGTCAAAAGTTAAAACTCCTTAACGTAACTCCTTTTTGTGTCAATGCACGCTACGCTTCGGGTCCATGCACGCTACAAGAGATTTTCTCTTCACAAGTATAAAATACATTTATCCAAATTAACTTACAAGCAAAACTATATCATTTAATATACAGGGTTATTCATAATTCCCTCTGTTTACTACAACCTTATATTTACTACAACTGGCTTCAGTGGTACATGTTACTGCCATCTACCGGCAACTGCTTAAATTAAAACTTGAATACTTTCGGAATAATTTCATATGTTCTTTTTTGCCATATTCATCTTCGTGTTTTTATTATAACGCTTCGAAA